AAAACTTGTCCCTTTTAGACTTGCACTCTATTCATTTACTGCTTGTTTTCTTTAAAAGAAAAAAAGTAACACTAGTTTTTCTAATCTTTTTATATTATTTTTGTTTTCTTTTTATTTATTATACAATTATAATTCTGACTTTCTGACTTCTGACTTCTTCTGATTAACAAAAGCAAAAAAGGCCTCTAACATTAGCTTGCTCTATTCTTTTTCTATTCTATCCGTTTTCTTTTTATTTATTATATAATTAAAAAAACTTTCTACGTGTACTGCATTAAGCTAACTGAGACTTGTTATAGCACTTGCATATCATTGCTCTTTTGTTGATTTTGATTGTTTCCATAGTCCTCATTTGTAAGTCGCTTTGGATAAAAGCGTCTGCTAAATGACTAAAATGTAAATGTAATATTCTCCACAATACATTGTGAGTTGGATGAGGATTCGATTAGAACTACAAACTACAAACATGGCGGATATGCGAGACTGACGAACAGGTAGAGAAAGGGGTTTGAGTGATAAATAATCAATGTCTAACCTGATGAAAAAATATTTATTGAATGTTATCAGAGTTATTTCTCATCTGCAGCAACATTGTAAACTTTTATAAATATACGTTTGGTCATTAACTTTTAAATGCTATTATGCAAACACATGAGCAGAGTTCTCGGCATGCAGGACCTGCGACTGGCAGATCAACATGCCTCTTCATTTCTCTCCAATACCGTAGGAAATTAAATTAAACTAAATGTGGAGGATGTTACCTGTGACAAGATGGTTGACAGGGCAGTTTAAAAGGAGACAGAATGCACGTAACTAAGCAACAGAGTGGTCCATTAAAGACAAAGTTATGATGAAGTAGGATGTCCCAAAGCTTACCTACTAATCTGCTACATACTCAAAAGTCTATACTTTTTCTTCACAAAAAGAGTACATACTTTTAGGCTTCCAAAACTCAAAATACCATTTATCCTCCAGAGAGAAACTCTTTTTTTTTTTTTTTTTTTTTTTTATAATTAAAGTATTTACTGTTCAAGAAAGACATAAAATACAGCAAAAATAGTAATATACAGTGAACGTTCACTACAATCTAAAATTATTGTTTTCTATTTGAGTATATTTTAAAATGCAAGTTATTTCAGCAATGGCAGCTAAATATTTTCTTCATGTGTTGCGTGACCTACATTGCATAATAAAAGGCATTAAGTTCACAGTCTTGTACCTTTGTCTTTTTCTCAGATTTTCAAAAACTTTTTTGCTTTAAAACAAAGTTTGTAATAAGACTCGTCTAAGAGCTGGGTGGTTCAGTTTATGGCTTACAGCTCCTTACTGAGTTTTTTTTTTTTTAAATCCCTACAGAGAAAATGAATGGGAAAATACTTCCAGAACCCAGACTGCTGAAAAAAAGTGAGTCGTGACTGTTGTGCTCTATTACTACTCAGCATATTTTGTTTCAATATTCCTAATAAAACAGTAGCATCTTCTTTTGACATTGAGGGGGTAAAAATAATTTTGGACTAACTGATGTCCATTATTGATCAGGACAGTTAATTCATCTGAGTGTGACTGTTTCAGATTTTCTGCTTTAGATACAGACCAGTAAAAGGCTAAAGCCCAATCAAGGTTATAAGAGATCAAAGAGCTTTACCCAGTAAAGACCAGACAGAGCAGTGTACAGATCAGAATGAGGACCTGGTTGAACATGGCAGAGTGTGTGCGCTGAATGGCACGATGGAGATCATTCTAGAAAGGAACAGAGATAGATGAGAGAGATCTCATCCCTCAGAGAATAAGCCAAGACAAGTACAAGTACAAGAATACAACACACATAATGCAGGCAACGTGAGATTACTGTAAAAGCCCTGTTCTGAAAGAGAGACTGCCCATTTAAGTGACTGCTTAAAGAGAACTTAATAACCTTCATTATCTTTCATTCATTGGTCTAGTGCTCCTCAAATAACTAATTATTTTATTCCACTGAATGCAATAGAGCAAAATATACTAAGAAAAATGTGAATACTCTTTAATAACTCTACTGCTCAATTATATACGAGATAAACATGTACAGTAGTGGTCAGAATTGTTGGTATCCTTGGTAAATATGATCAAAAAGGCTGTGAAAATAAATCTGCATTGTTTATCCATTTGGTCTTTCATTAAAAAAAATGTAAAAAATATCTTTAAAAAAAAGATTTAATTGAAGTAAAAAAAAAAATTTAAAAAAATTGGGGGGAAATTTCCATTTCCACCATCAGGCCAATATTTAAGAAGTTCCAATCAACTAAAGATGTTACAAATCTTCATGGAAGAGGACATGTGTCTATATCGTCCTAATGCACGGTGAGGAGGAGAGTTTGAGTGGCTAAAGGCTCTCCAAAGATGTATACAATGAAATATACTGTATCTTTAATGTTGTACGTGTATTTTTCTGCCGGAGGTCCTGGACATCTTGTTCAGATATATGGCATCATGGATTCTATCAAATAACAACAGATAAAAAAAACTGACTGTCCATGCTATAGATCTTATACTGGGCCAAGGTTGGATCTTACAACAGGACAATGATCCAAAAACAAACATCAAAACAAAAATGAGTTACAAAACGAATATTGAATAAAAGGGTACCATTAATTGTGACCAACGTGTATTAGAGAAAAACATTTATTTCATGAGATTTCCCCCTATTTTAAATTCTTATTCTTCAATGAAAGGTTAGATTTTTGTACATTTTTAAAATAAAAGATCAATAGGATTAACAATGCAGATTTATTTTCACTGCCTTTTTTGATCATATTTACCAAGGGTACCAACAATTCTGACCACGACTCTATGTTAACTACAATGTTGTGCACAAGAGATCAGGCCTTTAATGACTCCCTTTTTACTTTCATAATATTCATCTCACAAGGTAAATATATTTTAGGAAAGCTTTGGGGTAAAAGAGAAATATTTATGCCATGTCACATTTTGGTGATTGTTAGCATTTCTCTTTCACCAATATCTTTGCTTAAAGCATTTGTAAAAGGACATTCCCCCTGCCAGGTTCTCTCTGGCCATTTGACCCAACCATCTGGCAGGGAAGGGAACGCTGGCATCCTCTCAAATTTCTGCTCATTGATGATGCATTTTCATTTGTCAAGTGCATAAGGAAGTAAAGCTTCCCAACACAGCAATATTATCAACACCAATGTTATTCTGCTAGACACCCAACCTGATTTCCTGTAGGCATGTGAAATGCACTCCACAGCTGAAAAAACTACTTACAATCATGTTCTCCAGCGCTGATTTGGCAAGCCAACAGTTAAGAAACACAGGAACAAATATGTTCCTCAGCGGAGGCCAAAAGATCTAGAAATAAAGCACTCAAAGAATGAAGGATGATTGTATCTAAAAATTCAGATGATAAAATAATAGACAGTTCAAAAACAAATATCAGATCAACTGTTTGTAAATTGCCAATCAGTTTAAACAAAAACCAAGGCAAAAAAGGCATTTTACTCTGTATCTGACATAAAACAGTATACCTTTTTCTTTTTTACAGAAACGTACATCTTTCATCAGCAAAAAAGGAGAGGATTCATATCCTCTTAGCAATCTACTGTAAGAAAAAAACTCAAAACATTTATAACAGAAAAGCATAATTGTGTTGTATACCACTCCATCGCTTTTACATCTGTAATGCCATTAGAACAAAGGAATTAAACATCCTGTAATTTTCTCCCACTGACTGCAGGTCAAAAAATGGTTATTTGTTACTTGGCTAATTGTTACATTGCATTAATAATCATTCCCTCTCACAACTGGCTTTCAGTTGTCAATGGCTGCTCATATAATTACAATCAATCACAACAATACTATCCCAACAGTACTCAACAATTACTATCAACAATGACTGTATGATGGCAGCTGGCAACTGGATACGTGCTTCTGTGTCCACCAGATATCTTCATCACTTACTGTAATTATGAACGGCACTGTATTGATCATCTCAATGATAAAGGAGATTTGGAAAATCTGCTCCCAAATGTTCCCCTAGAAATGAAATAATTGTTACACTGCAGAAGCATACAAAAAGCACATTTAATGCAGTTTAAAAAAAATTACAACACTAAAAACATCCTAATTCACATAATGTAATAATCTAAAATAATCTGTCCTAAATATGTGACATTGTAATTACCGCATCCAAATTACAGTGTGAAAATAGCATGTCAAATGTATGGATGCCTGTTTCCACAACAGAATAGCAAAATAAAAAAGGCCATTGCGATTTTTTTATCTCACAGATGTAAACTCAGAATTCTGAGAAAATGTCAGAAAATGTCAGAATTCTGAAAAAAAGGTCAGAATTTATACAGTATATTGCAATTCTGAAACAAAACCCGAATTGTGAAATAAAAAGCTGCAATGACCTTTTTTATTTGTTTATTTTGTGGTGCAAACAGGCTTTGTGTGATGTGGTGATTTGAACAGATTTTAAAATTATGACAAAGGGAAAGTGTGTAAAAATGTTTTCTTATATCCCACTATTATGTGCAGAGACAAAGGTTCACCTGTTGACTTAACAATACACTGCTGTACAGCTCTCTGCATTAAGTGTGCAAATTCACACACAGCCTTTAAAGGGGTCATATGATGCGATTTCAAGTTTTCCTTATTATGGTAAGGGGCGTTACATTTCCGACGAGTGCTTGCGGTGTTCGGCCAATCACAATGTACTGGGTCAGCTGGCCAATCAGAGCAGACTGCGCTTGTCGGAAGGAGGGACTTTGTAGAAAACGAAGCGTTTGAGAGAGGCGGGGCATAGAGGACCTACAATAATGTACAGTATTAGAAAAATAATGTGTTTATTGAACATTAAAGCATGTCAACATATTCTGTTACACCAAATAATGATCTTTAAAAAAGCATCATATGACCACTTTAATTACAACAAAGATTAAGCTCATTCAGCTTTTGTTTCTTGTTAAATCGATAAAGAAACAGAAAACAAGTAGGAGAATTTTTTTTTCGTCAAAAGTGAGGAACATTTTCCATTATAGGGGATATAAAGACACAAAGTGGCCCTTAAGCAGCCCAAGAGCTGAAATAGATTTCATTTAGATCAGTGCTTAGAGAGCTCACAAGGGCAGAATAATGATGACAATAATCTTACCTTGTAGCTGAGATACGCCAGAAGCATAGCTTGCAAGAAGCTAATTAAGGCCACTGTCACCTGTGGTGCAGGAAACAATATCATAATTTTGATTAGCGGAGTATCAATAACAGTATACTGAGATTTCAGGACATAACTGAAATCTGAGTACTGAGTGAGAAACATAATTAGTAGTCATAAAGACATGTGAACAGTGATGTACACTCTTTAAAAAAACAAAATGGAAAAAAAAGGTTACGCAATACAAAATCCTCCTGGGGTCTGTCCTGCGCACCTCTATAACTGTCTGGTTTAGTTCAGGCAGCAAACAGGACAAAAGAAAATTGCAACGGACAGTCAGGACCACTGAGAGGATAATTGGTGCACTGTTTTTCATGGTTTATATCACTCTGTTCGTCTGTGTTCCACACAGACTGTCAGTCTATGTAGTGGGGGGTATTTTTCATTGACTCTTTCAGCAGGTTACATCATTAAGGCAGTTGATGGTGAGAAAAGACCATCTTTATGAGAGAAACACTCAACTGATTTGTTTAAAGCACACTGATTTATTAAGGAACCAAACAAGTGACTGATTTTATGATTTAAAGCACACTGATTTATTAGGGAACCAAACTGATTTTATGATTTTATAGTCCCTGAATCATTCACTCAACCGGTTTGTCAAAATTAATCTTTATGAGTGAGTCATTGATTCATTCATTTGTTCAAAGCACACTGATTTATTAAGGAACCAAACAAGTGACTGATTTGATAGTCTTTGAATTATTCACTCGACCAATTTGTTCAACAATGAGACAAGTGACTGTCTTTATGATTGAGTCATTGATTCATTCAGTTAACCGATTTGTTCAAACCACACTGATTGATTCAGGAATTAAACAAGTTACTGTTTTTATGAACGTATCATTGAATCATTCACTCAAACAGTGCAATCGAAAAACTGATTTAATCAGGAATGAAACACCTCTACAGTTGTTTTGGCTCAGTGGCTTAGAAGGAATTTTGTTGGCGGACCAAAAACAGACTAAGTATCTGTCAATATTATGTCTATAACTTCTTGTTTATTGAAGTGTTGTATAAAAGCAATATTGTACTTGTAACTGTCTGGTCTGAATTCCAGAAGGGTATCCATATTCTTTCATATATTTAAAAATATTGACAATGAGCCAATCTGCACACACCTCTCTATAAGCTTTATTTTCATTTACTCTGCCTAGTTGTTGTTTTTTTTAATGGATCTTGTATATTTAAACTATGTTAGTGCTCAGTGCCAGAAAAAAATCCAACAAAGCCAATAAAGCTTTTTTAGATTAAGATTCTAAAGCACTAAAATAGAGATTTTTTAAGAAATATATTGTAAAAGGTTTGTTGTACAATTTAAAAAGGTTCTTTCCAGGAATCACAAAAAAAATCTCGACCTACCTGTATCGCCCATACAGGAACTCTCCTATTCACCCAAAATATTAACTCCCTTCAAAAAACACAGCACAAGAAACAAACAGATAGGACAATTAGAGAAAATTTTCAAGAACAAACACTTTAATTAGTTAATAAGTTTGATTTGTCATAATATCTAAGTGCAGACAGGTCTCACCAGTTTATTTGTATGGGATCTGTGGTCAGGTTTGTTGTGTAGTTGCCACAGGCTTTGTTGCAAAGAGCATCTGTGATGTTTGTGCAATGTTTCCTACAATCACGATAACAGGCAGTTAGTACATAACAGACATAAAAGTGAAAGGCATCAGGGTTGAAACACTGAGGGATCATGCCTGCTGGCTCTGACATAAACGACAGCGTGAGATGGCCTCTCTCATTTGATTGCTGCTAGTAGGGCACCCTCTCCTCTCCCAGCATGCTTGCACACAAGTGCACACTGCTCTCTCTTTCTGTCACTTACTAACACACACACACACTGTCCCTCATTGTTCCTGAATGTTTTTTGTGGCTGGTATTAATGGACACTTCAGACTGAGGGGTCTGGGCTGATCCCAAGAGTCGCTTTCAAGCAATTAAACAGCGCTTTTGAATACTGAGCTGAAGCTTGACTTTGCAAATTTAAAATCGCAAATCAAATCGCATTCGCAATATCTGTCAAAAAAATCGCAATTTGATATTTCCCCCCAAATCGCACAGCCCTACTTTTGAGACATACTATAATGTATTTTGTTTCGGTGTGCTGCTGTTGTCACGTCACAGAAGAGTTGAAGTAAAGTCATTATACAGCAGTTAGTTCAGGTCCTCTAAGATGACTGGACAAGCACAGTTTCAAAACCACTGATATTTTGCGTGACATGTTTTCTATATAATAAAATAGAAAACAGTTAGTTAAAATTCTAAGAAAGTTTCATAATATTACTGTTTTTTTACTGCAAGAAATGTAACATAAGTGACTTCAATTGAAAACATAAAAAAACCTACTAACCCCAAACTTTTGAATGGTAATGTATATAGGAGGATGAAAAAAAGTATGACAGTTTTCATATCATATCTATCCCTTTAAATATCATGCTTACTCACCGTGCACATGTGACCTGGTTAGTTGGATCATCTAGTGAGACTCTGATTATATAGAGGAGGCATGTTAACAACTTCAAGGAGAGGTTGAAGAGGCGTATTCTGAGACCTGTAATACAGTAAATTATGAAGTGGAGCTACATACCATAGAAAAACCATCTGGAAAATGTAATATAAATAATTCAGCGGTCTGGCAATCCTGCACATTTACAGTACCATCATAAATCCACACAAACAGTTAAAACAAAGTCGCCTTCGCTGTTATGATGATAATAGGCCACGTAAAAGACAAAAATATGGAGGCATTGTACATGTGCACATATACTGATATTGACATTGTTTATGCTTGTTGAAATTGATTTTGCTTTGTTGGTTTCTGAGTAGTTGTAAATGGCTCAAAGGGTCAAAAGATTTTACTTACTTGACCTTTGGTTTTTGATGAAGAAGAGCTTCAACCTCTCCTTGAATGTGTTTTCATTTACATAAAACTCCACCTGCACCCTGTGGAAAGGAAATAAAATGATGCTTAAAATATATATATGTTTAAACTCATTTTACGTGCAGCGGTCATAAATGTATGATACAATTACCCCTAAAATATTTGGACACTTAATCACACTTTATAATGATAATGCAATGATAATCACACATTTTAAAATGTCCAATTTTTTTAAATATTCATTCAAAATATATTGTGCAACATTCACAAAGCAATTGCATAATGCACCATTGAATGCTCATTGTAAAGCATGTCCACACCTCAAATCTTTGGTGAAAAACTATTAACAGCAGCATACAAAACTTCAAGCAGCTAAAACTGTCCAGAGTGTAAACAACTTCTTTTAATCTCCAAATCCATGTTTAAGATGTACAAGAGCGTTTCAAATCTTTTAGGACATCTGACAAGGAGCATTAGCAACGGTGGTGCTTCAGATGAACTCTCAGTAGACATCAGCCTCTACCATCTGTGTATGAATGTTTCCCTAAAGTTACACTATTTCGGTATCTACTGTATAAGCTTGAATTTCTATATAATGTCATCATATTGCGGCAACATCCATCATGATCCAAAATCCAGTATCTTTGAATCTAGCCCAAACACACACTGTAGCTTCACGAAATCTGCAGTATCACCACCCACACAATGCTGCAAAATAATGAGCAATCACGTTAATGCTCATCATGCATATCACTAATGAGATGCTTCTGGGTGAATCTCAGGAAGAATTAAAAATCAAAAGAAATTAATATTTGCATACAGACAATAATTTCACAAAAAACTTATTCGTTGTAATGTTGCAATAAAAACATTCTGTCCAGATAGATTTATTTATTTTTTATTAAAACCATTTTTTATTACAGTAGGCTGCAGAGAATAGGAGTGTGTGCTATACGTGATTTGAGTCATTTTGTTAATTTACGTTATTTGGTTTCTGTCTGTCACCCAACCACACTCAATCCAAAACCCGTCTTTAATACATCAGAAACCCCAATGCCAGGAATCCCAAACACAAAACACCACAGCATCTAATCTATCGGAGCATTTCAGCCTATTTCCTTACTACACAACTGGTCAAAATCATTTTTAATAATTAAGAATTGTTAATGTTTGCTCACCAAAGCTGTGTTTATTTGATCACAGTAAACAGTAATATTGTAAAATATTATTACAATGTAAAATAACTCCTGTGATGGCAAAGCTGAAGTTTCAGCAGACATTACTCAATTCTAATATGCTGAATAAAAAATATCTTAATTTAAAAAAATATCATAATTATTCCAAACTTTTGACCAGTAGTGTATATATTATGCAAAAACCACTACAACAAAAAAGTAGTATGTATATCCGAACAACAAGATTCTGAAATCTACATGACATGCACAGAATATACTTCATATCTGAGAAGTAATTTGTACATTTGACAGTATGTGATTTCGGACACAGCTAATGATTCGCAGCAGAGAACAAATATACAGTGCTCACGACTGTCACAGAGATGTGCAATTTCCCAGGGCACCTATATTGGTATTTCAGTCATATCTGTCAGGCATACAGTATTGTCTTAAATACAAACACACACACACACACACACACACACCTTTAATAATTTACAGCATCTTTAATAATCACCAAAATAATTCAAAATGCTATGTATATTTTAATGTAAAATGTATTTTTTTCTTTTTGATTTGGGGACAAAATATAATATAGAAATACCTTTGGCAAAACTTTTTGTATTTTCCATATAACCACCATTGCTTCTAATTACTCCACTAATGCACATTTCTTGGTGATCAGGCATATTATATGTTAAAGTGCCCCTATTATGCTATTTTTAAGGTTGCTAATATTGTTTTATGAGTCTCCTAAAACAGGTTTACATGCATGCAAGGTCAAAAAACATGTTAGTTTTCTCAAAAAATAGATTTCATTTGACCTCATTTCTAATTCGTGCGAAGTCAGTCTCTCTAAACCCCTCCTTTCCGTGAACCCTCACTGCTGTGATTGGTCAGATGGCGCAGTCCTTTGTGATTGGTCCAGAGCCGTAGAGAGATTGGCTCTGGATTGGTCTACCGCGTACAGCACGTGTCGGAAACGAAACGCCCATTGCCATGACGGAACTACAGCCCTGGAGACTTGTCAATACATAGAAAAGATGGTATCGATTGTACCTTACCAATTCGAGCCGAAGTCAGATGATGAAACGGTTGAACTGGCTGATCGACAAAAGACTGATTCGCAAGCACGACTGGAGCAGGACGTTTCTGAGTGGTAAGTGTCAAGTGTTAACACGCTTGTGGTAATTATAAGATGTGATAAAACAAATTTACTCTCACAG